AGAATGGCCACTTAGCATGCAATATGTCTGAATGGGGCATATGTTTATTACTTTTCTATACTGCCTAGTAGCCGATGCCTGGTCGTATTGTCCTACCAGGCATCAGAGAGGGGCAAGTCAGCTTGCTAGTCAACATGCCAAGGTAGGGAAAGAGGAAATAGGCATAGGGCCACCAGGATGTGGCATGGGGCCAGCATACCTCACCCCAATGCCCCTCCTCAGTTTAATCCCGTATGCATTCCGATGAAAGCTGAATAGGGCTTTGGGCAGCGACATTTTTGGGGGAAGTTCTCACATATCCCACATTGGCTCACGTTCCTCACTTTGCACTGGTATCTGAGCAAAAATTCACTCCAGTGTCAGCCACAGGGAGCAAACATAAGGTTTTTCTATTAGTGCTGGACCTACTGAAGGGTGCCAGGATCCATCCTCTGACACGTTCCTGACTTGATGGGGTCTACATCCTAGATTCAACCAGGCATTAATAGTTTTTAAAATCAGATGTTAACAACCCAATATTCTGATGAAGCTCCAAAAGCCTCTTATACAATACTTTCGCAACTACGATCCCAGCAGGTGTTCTCTCTTTTTATGTTATGGGAAAAACACATATGCATTTTAAATCAGGGATGGTGAACCACCAGAAATGAAGCCAATCTGGCCAAAACTGTCCACATCATGCAACACCATCTTCACCTCTAGGGAGGCCAGCTGGGAGGAGAGGTTTATACTTTGTCATGATCCACTTTGATTGCATGCATGAAGCTCCAAGGATCAATGCAAGGAAATAGAGTGCCATATTCACTCAATTGACTTGTTTTTAAACCTGCCTGTAATACCATCTAAAATGGACATTGGCTAAAATGCACATTTTTCTGTATTAATATTCTAGGACAGGCCTGTACCCCAAATTCGGGCCTGGGTATGGCTCCTAAAACTGTAGGCCTTGCTTGACTTGAATGAACTCTAGCTCCCTTGTGTATTAATCTGCAGAACCTTACTAATCGCTCCCTGGCCACACCCGAGTGCCTTCACTAAGGGAGACACCCTCTTAGCTTGATAGATAGGAAAAGGACACTCACTCACCCTACTCTCTTCCTTGCCCAGATTCCTAATCTGCCCAGCTAATACACATAATCCTGCCTTTCTGGTTGAGGAATGAGCTAATGCTTTGCTGATAGATGCTATTTCCTACCATCCTGCCCCCCTCAGCAGGAATCAGGCCCTCAGCCTGGAAGACTTGACTGGCCAGACAGGGATCCTCCTCACCTATTGTGCCTTTCCGACTCCCTGCACCTATATAAATGTGCATTGGCCCCATGTACTCGGTATCTGTCAATGATTCATGTCTCCCAAATACTTTCCTGTAGCATTGCTGCCTGCTCTGCTGTACACATGTAACCTATATAAGCTACCATTTCCCACATGTTTGTTTGGAATGTTTCAAGGAGGCTCCACTGACCCCATCCATTCCAGCTGATGGGAACCTCCCTCGCAGGGGTCCCCACATGCATGATGTGACTTGCTGCTAAAACACCTGAGAAGGCTAACTAGCTTACTTGTATTTCGTTGCAACAATAAAGTGTTACCCTGTAACACCCTGTACCCTTTTACTTACAGTGTAAGCAAAACCTCCTTGCCCTTGGCCAGGGCAATGCACAGTCATAGGACAGAACTTGTACACAGCAACTTAATGTTTTTACAAATAAAAACACAAACTGTAAGATACTGAAAGGAGGAATACAATTGTGAAACTAAGCAGGAGACGAAACTATGGGAAGAGAACAAAATTTTATTAAGAATCTGTGGTCACAGAATAAAATACTTCACCTACAATATTCATGTTATACTTAACTAGTGAGTTGTAAGTCACTCTGCTTATCAGAGAATGGCTGCTTGCCAAGCTGCATGACACAGAGGAAATAATACACTGAGTGGAATTTCCCCTTTTGTAAAAAGTTCATGTAAAGTGGAAACGCTTCTGCTGGGTTTCCCCTGGACAAAAAGTACCGAATGTCCTTGCCAACTGCATGACCTGCCCCTCAATCACAGTATGCTCAGGCTCTAATTCTATTCCACTGATGCAGGCTGTCACATAATTAATTTGCAATGAACCGAGAGTAAGATTGGGCTTGATTTTCTGTCTGATCACGTTTTCCCCACACCATTCTTACTAGGTGATAGTGAAGAACACTTGGAAGCCACCCAGCGCACTCCTGTTTCTTTTCCCATAAGATTTTGCTTTGACTGGGAACTCGCTGAAGGGAAACTTCACATTCTTTTCCTTGTAAAATTTCCTATTAGCTCACCAGGCAGTTTTATGTAACTCATTATTTTCCTGCCAAAACTTTATGATTACCAAAAATATTACCATCAATTACCAGCCACAAGTTTTTGATCTGCACCATCCAGTACAAAACAGGTTTTTTGCCCCCAGTGAACTTGATCATGGTTTCGATTCCTTGTGTGCATGTACTTGATTCCTGATGTTAAAGTATACACTGCTGTTCATGCAAGCTCTGGGAACATCACATACATAAGGTACTCCAAGCTGCCCCTCCAATCATCTCACAGCTATACAAGAGACATCAATTCACATTATGAATTCAGGCAGTGAGGTTTGCCCGTTTGTTCAGTCTGGGTATGACACTACACAGGGGTTTGCAGCGCAAAAAATAATGTAATGTTCTTGCTTAAGGACTACATTTCAGTAAGAGGGCAGTATGCTAGATTTTAGAATGATCACCATTCTATAAATAGGATGCCATTGCTCTGTTATCTGTAAAGTTCAGGCATTCCAACCATTGCTAACTGCTTTCTCAGATTCCTTAGTGGTATTCCCATATCCGCTGGTTCAGTGAAAGCATTTTCACTTAACTGCAGTTGACCTTTGTCCAAAAGAGAAGACATAAAGTGCTTCCTTAAGTGAAAATTCTTGATTTAATAGGGAAAGAAAAAAAGTATGCTGAAGTTGCATACAGTGCTACAGCTATTGAAAAGTACTCTGTTCATGCTCAAAGCAGACCCTTCCTTGTAAAATGAGAAATATAATTTTAATCTGGTTTTAATATTAATATTCTCAGTCATAGTTTATCTCATCATATTCTTTGATTAAGTATAAATAGACAATAATATGAATATACTGTAAGCTGTCCTGAGACAATTGGTTTATACAGGACGGGATAAAAATATTCTAAATAAATAAATATAAGCAGCAGCCTTTTAAACTGAGGAACTAGGAAACTGTCTTAATACTGTTTGCCTTGACTGACAGCAGTACTCCAGGGTTTCAAACGGGGTTTCCTGAAATTTGCCTCAAGACTCCTAGGCCTTTTAGCAAGCGAAGCATGGGCTTACTGGTGTAAAAGTAATCGGCAATGAAAATATTACATTAACAGCTGCATTCCCAAAGTTAAGTCTCCGGCTGGCTGGGTAATAAAAAGAGAAATGTTATAAAATATTTCAAAGCGTGAAGAAGGGAAAAGAAAAGCTAGTCACAGTACGAATCAGATACAAAAGGTTGTTTCCTTCTCCCCCTTCATGTGAAGCAGGCCAGATCGAAGTAACTGTTGGATTTTACACTTCCAAGATGTAGACTCAGCCATTGTGCATTTCCTCGCATAGCCCTCGGTGAAACATGAACACCGAAGAGCCTAATCATTCTATATATATCGACGCAAAACTAAGTCCCATTCGATGCTACGGGGCTTACTCGCAGGTAAAGGGGTACAGGATTGCACCTTCAGTCTGCTTCCCGCATCCCATTTAAGGGTGTGACCATCGCAGGCCTTGCAAATTTCTCCAGCCACCGCTCCCTTGGATTGCCATTTTTTAAAAACCGACGTCCAGACTTAAGAAAGGTTCTGGAGAGCTCTTGCAGCTTAACTCGCAGTATTCGGCGGATCCCAATAAAAAATGCTGCCCTGCTGCGGTCTGCAGAACTAACCTGGGAGTCTCTCTCGGGACCGGAGGGCGGGCGAAGCCAACCTTAAAAGAAAAAGCGGAAGAGGAGAGAGTCCTTTGTGGAAACAGAACAGCTCTCAGAAAAAGAAGATCGTTCAACCCGCGTTATCAAAACTAATGTGGGAAGGCGTAGGAAAGCAACAGCATGAACAAAAGTCCGGGGATTTTCCACTGCAAGAGTGGAACGCTGGAGCGAGGCGGACAGGAACTGGGCCCGACCGCAGACATTAAATATAATTAACTACATGCACGTATGCATTTTCAAGCGTTGGCTCGCACTTCCCCGCGCGCGCGCATGCGTGACCGCGGCGGCGCGGTTCTACTAAGGCCCTTGTGACGGGGTCGCCCAATGGCAGAGCCGCGCTCCGCGGGGGCGGGGGGGGGCGGCGGCGAGGCGGATCGCGTTGCGCATCCTCCGCCCTCGCGGGCGGTGCCAGCGGCGGCGGGGCGCAGGGCGAAGCTGGAGGGCGGCGACGACGCCGGTTCCCGTTCATGGGAGGAAGGCGGGCCCCGGCTCACTTCCCGCTCGCTCCTCCTCCTCCTCCTCCTCCTCCTCTCGCGATTGCCCAGCTTTATAAAGGAGCGAGAAGGCTGCGCTCGAGTACCGGTCCGGCTTCGGGTCAGTCTGTGAGGCGCAGCGGTAAGGAGGGCGGGCAGTGCGCGTGCGCGCAGGCTGGCGGGCGGGGGAGGGGGGCAGGGTGCGGGAGCGCGCCGGGTGGGAGGGGCTCGCCGCCGCCGCCGCCGCCCTCTCACTCGTGGGTCCTCCCCGCTGGCTCAACAAAGCGGCGCCGGGGCGCTGGCCGGCTTTGTGCGGCGTTGCGAGGAGGGCATCTGACAAAGGAGGGCGCGATTGCTTGGCTGTTTTCTGAAGAAAAGAAATTATGGAAAGGGGGAGGGAGGAGACTCCTCTTCAGAATTAGCAGGGAGGGAACAAACTAAGGCTTTTAATCATCGTCATCTAAACTGGCCTTGCTCCGAATGGGCGCCGCGGTTACGTGCAAAAGGTAAAAAGGCAGTGTGGCCTAGTAGTCAGAGCTTTTGGAAGCGACCCGGGAGATCGGGGTTCTAGTTCCCACTGCCATGAAGCGCACTGGGTGACTTTGGGCCGGTTACTCAGTCTCAGCTGAGCCTACCTCGCAGGGATGTTGTGAGGATAAAATGGAGAAAGGGAGGCCCGTATAAGCTGCTTTGCAGGTGGTTAAAGGATGGGATGTCGATGTAGTTAACAGAAGATCATGCAGTGCCTTCACTCATTTGTGGAGCCACTTCTTATTCCCACCCATGAAGAAGTATTTCTGCGGTGGAGTTGGGATGCTAGCCATCCCCTGTGATCCACTAGAGGATCCAAGCCACCCGTTGAGGACCACGTTCTCAGCTGCTTCAGAGGTGGCTATGTTTGGGCTGAAGGTGGGTCCTGCATCTAAAAAGGCTGAAGTCTTTTGGCCTGGAATATAACCGCTCTCCTTGCAGTTGCAGATTGATAGTGGCTAGCGAGTTGCTTTTCTGATAGTGGCTAGCAAGTTGCTTTTCTGAGAAGTCGCTTTTCTGAGAAGTCGCTGTCACTGATAAGCTGTCTAGGAACTTGGAGACTTTCCTGAAACACGGTTTGAGTGTGCTTTTACATTACCAGAAGGACTCTGCACAATTTCTTGTGCATGTGAGCCTTTTTTGAGGGTTTACTGTATCAATTGCTATGTAAAAATGAGCAATAATAGATTACGATGGACACAATATGAAAGTAGAGGATATTATAAACTACTATTGATGTCCCAGTTGGATCTAGAAATGAGAAGTAGGTGGTATGCAAGAGAAATCATGAACTAGGAGGCATAAAATAGTCCTGTGACTAGAATAGAGCCATATGCTTGTAGGGATTCCTGATTATCGGATGCCAGGAATATCAGAAAAGGGTGGCCAAACACTTTGTGCCATGCTTGTGAGCTTCTTTTAGAAGCTTCTTCAAAACCAGGGGAATGCAAGATCAACCTTTTTTTGGATCAGATCAACTGTCCATCTAAGATTAGAATTTTTTCAGTAGTGGTAGCTGGATATTTTTGCAGAGCTTGCAAACAGGGCATGAAAAGAACAGCAGATGGAGGGTTATTCCATTGCCATCTCTCTGGCCACTGCAGCTTTTTGTGGTCACTAGCTTTTAAACTGTAGTTTTGTACTGCGCCTACGTTTTTTTTTTGCTTTCATTTCCTCTGCATCACTTTACATTGTCTTCACCCTACATCTTAACCTTTAGAAATTTCCTGTTTCCTCACATCAGACCTTACCCCTTTGCTTTTGATGTTCCTCTGAACCCTGTTGTCATACTTTGCCTTTTTGGATGGATGCTCTTTATCATTTTGTAATTCTTTATGTTTATGTTATGCCTTTTGTATAATTCTGTAATCATACTCTACTGCTCTCTTTCATGTACAGCTGTGTTTGGAAATACATGCATCGCTTTGAGTGGCTAGCATAGTCCTACCTGTAGAATTTTATCTTAGAAGAAGAGATTATTGCTTTAGTTTTGGAAACGTTTTTGTTGCTCCAGCTAGACAGCAGGCATTAATTAACAGCTGTGTCAGTCATCTTTATTGTAAGTCTCTCTTTCAGTATGAATGTGCTGTTGTGTCCCAATGAGTGAGACTATGCCCACTTTGGGTGATTTACTCTTTTCTCTGAAGTGAATTTTCATTTGTGTTCTGAATACCCGAACCCTCTTGTAATGCTTTCTCATTTCAGTTTCACTTTTTCTTTTTCCTTATCCACTGATGCAGTTTCTTCATGCATAGGGTGGTGTGGGTCAAGGCCCATGAAAGCCCACAGTACATTTGTTCATCATAAGGGGTCACTTGTAGGGCTTTGCAGACTAATAGAGTTTTGGCCTTTATGTTTGAGGATGAGTGGGTAAACCTCTAAGATACCATAGTTTCATAGGCAATAAATAGCCATTTCAGGATGCTGAACATCTCCAGTATTTTTTGATATACTAATCTAATGACCTTTGTGTATATAATCTTTGAAATGTCAGCCACAGTAAAAGTTGGTTTCTGCTGACAACCCAAATGTATTGCTGTGTTTAAGTGGTGGGTTAATGAGTGGGAAAGGGTATGTGTGAATGAAGCTAAGATTGCTGTTCCTGTGAATGCCAGCCTACAGCAGGCATTTGAGGAGTGACTTAGCTGCCCCAAACAAGCAGTAGCTGAGGAGGGTGGCCAGCTGACTGAGAGATCTGTTCAAAAGTGAGCTCTTGTTTTAACTTCAGAATTTCTTAATCCACTGTATTTCTGTTTTTCAATACTTCAGAAATGGTATTTCCAGATTTCCAAGGAAGGGTCATTTTCATTTATGTAGAGGAATTTCAGCTCTAAAAATAAAAATTGTTTCCGCTGTGATTACACATATGCAATCAGGGTGGTGTCCATCTGGAGGTACATATAGATGGGTGTGTCTGAGTAGAAAAGCTGTCACATACACTTTTTAGATACTGATCTATATGTATATATTTTTTTCATGCAGGTGTTGGTAACCTGAAGGGCATTGTGTTGATCACACTCTATATTTACAGTTTTTCCTTGTGAAACCCATACTGCAGTATGGCTGCTTAAGCCCCTTGAAAGGGACTAGAGTCTGAAGTCTGGGACATAGTTTTGTGCATTAATACTTAAATTGTTTTTACTGTTATCTAGGGGAGCTTCTACTTAATAAACATGTTCTATTATATTTTAAATAATAAGCATAAAATGGAGTCATTCTCTACAGAGCATCATAGTGGTGTTAAATCCTTTGACAATTTAGTACTCATAAAACAACCTGGTTAAAATTATATAGCAAAACTTAAGTGACAATAAGGAGAAACACTGATCCAGTGCTGTTCAAAGCTTGTTTGTATCCACAGCAGGTTCAGTAGTAGTTGGCAGAGATCCATATCCTTGCCTTAATAGTTCAGTAACTTTGTGGATATTTTAGAGGGGCACATCTTGAATATCTTCTTGATGAGAGTTAATGAAAAGACATACTCATTGATAAGGAGCAGATGTTTTTGAATATCCTAGGGAGAATAACCTGATTTAAGTTGATTTTTCCTTAACATAAAGTCTGCTACATCTGTGTCCCACTGTTTCAGTCCTGCTTTTGAACTTAACAGGAGTTGGAAACCAATTGTCTTGATTTTAATCCTGGCCCTAAACTGTTACTTGAGCATCCTTTGATGTGAGACTTGTGAACAAGAATGCATACTTAGGATTATAACCTTAGTTTCTTCATGATAATTCCTTTATTGTAAAAGCTTCCCCTGGCCCCATTTAAAATAGGAATAGCGATGCTGTTGTTGATGAGGAAAATAAAATACTGTTCTAAAGATGAGTATGTTGTGCAAAAGATGACATACTGTTCAGGCAAAAGAACAGAACGTTCTGGATGAATACTATATTTAAATTGGGTGCATTTAAAAGAAATTGCATGTAATGTTTTACTTTCAGGTTCTTATTTTATTATGACCTGGAAGTTAATCAGACTTGCACAAAACTATCTCCCAGTCTTCAGACTCATCCCTTACTCCTATTCCATTTCATCATCATGAATATTTTGAGGTCACTCCCATCCAAGCTGAAGAACAATGGTGATGTGAATGAACTGAAGTATGACCTTTCCTGTGAGCTCTATAGGATGTCCACCTTTTCAACTTTCCCTTTGAATGTGCCAGTATCCGAGAGGAGTCTTGCCCGTGCTGGTTTCTATTACACCGGACTGAAAGACAAAGTGAAATGTTACAGTTGTGGCTTGATGTTGGATAACTGGAAAAAGGGTGACAATGCTCTAGACAAACACAGGCAACTCTGTCCTAGCTGCAGCTTTGTTCAGAGTCTGACTTCAGGGAACAATATTGGCTCATCATTTAATTCTGCCTTTTCACCGGCAGTTGCCTTTGGAGGCCTTTCTTCTTCGCATTCCCCAACACAAGTGCCATATTTGGATCAAGTTGGCTATTTCAGTGGAATTTTTTCCAGTTTTCCACAGGATCCACTTACATCCAGGGCAATAGAAGATCTGTCACATCTGAGACCTACAGTCACCAATTCTGCCATGAGCAGCGAGGAAGTCAGACTGCTCACTTTCAAGAAATGGCCCCTGACATTTCTGTCACCCTCCTCTTTGGCAAAAGCTGGTTTCTATTATATAGGGCCTGCAGACAAGGTGGCTTGTTTTGCTTGTGGCGGTCAACTTAGTAACTGGGAGCCAAAGGATAATGCTATGTCTGAGCATCGGAGGCACTTCCCAAATTGCTCTTTTGTGGAACAAGCTCGAGACCAGCCCAGATTCATGGTCTCAAATCTGAGCATGCAAACCTATGCAGCACGTGTTGGTAGCTTCAAAAATTGGCCAATGACAGTTCCAGTTCAGCCACAGCAACTTGCAGATGCTGGCTTCTATTACGTAGGTAAGAGAGCTTGTTCTTCCTGGTGAGTTGGACTCTTCAGAATTTTAAATCACCTGCTTTTCTGAATGATTGTATTTTCAAAAATTCTCTATAAATTGTTGTTGTTAAGGTCGCAATGATGATGTCAAATGTTTCTGCTGTGATGGTGGACTCAGATGCTGGGAGTCTGGAGATGATCCATGGATGGAACATGCTAAATGGTTTCCAAGGTAAATTTAAACATTCTTGTCTGGAACCAGAATACTGAGATCATCCCAATCTTGCTACCATTTTGAATTAAAAGACAAAATATGTACTGGTCTCTCGTAAAGGAATTTCTCCTGATACTAGTTTTATGGCACTCAGATTTAAATAGAACAGTTTCTTTGTTATTCATTCAGATTGAGTAGCTATTCACACTCAGCTTCAGTGGAGGTTTACAAATGTACTATTGAGGGATCCTGCTCCTCTGGGCTTGTGAAAATAGTCACAGCCTGGATCCAAGTCAATTAGTCTAGAGCTTGGTCTCTGTAATGCAATCAGTCCAGCATCAATCTTTTCAGAAAACTGATCCTAATGGTTTTTTCTGTGCCACTGAAAGCAGCTAGGAGAAGACTGTTGCCTTCCTGCCCTGCACTTCCCATAATGGTTAGCCATCTGGAGAAGACAAGCCCTTCCTTAATCAGGGCTTTTTTAAAAAAAAATAAAACACTGCTATTATTCTAGTGGCACTTTGAGTATAAAATGCATCTCACTGTCTCTGTCCACTTTTCCATCCATCCTAATATACCTATTACTATAATTTTAAAGCATTGTGTGGGAGGCTAAAGCCAGTGAACCTAGGTTCTAGACCAGGGTCCTCAGACTTTTTGAATAGGGGGCCAGTTGAAAGGTGCCAGGGATGGTTGTGGGCCGCCAAGGGGGGGGGGTGTGCAGAAAGGCAGGGGCATGCGTGCGCAGAGATCCTTTTCTCCAAGCGAGTCCAAAATGATCTCCTTGCAAGCATGCCAATGTGCGTGGCAAGCTATGGTGGGCCAGATAAATGGGCATGGTGGGCCAGATCCAGCCCGCGGGCCGTAGTTTGAGGACCCATGTTCTAGACAAACACTGCAAATGTCTGGCTGTGCTCTCCATGCCAGAATAATGTAAGTTGGTGGCCTAGGCCTACAACCCAGGAGCTGAGAATTTAAGGTTTTTTAAAAAATGTAATCTGTGGTTCTGAGTAGTCTAGCCCACAGAATGGTCTAGTGCACAGAATTGCATATGATTTAGGGGTTGATCTGGGCATACTCAGTTTAGGATGTGGCTCATACAAAGCATGATTCTTGTCTTTGATCAGAAACTCAACTGGCATTGCACTCAGCCTTTTTTTAATAAGTCGCAAACTCTTTAGAACTGCATCTGTGCCTGATGAAATTAGTACATACCCTATTTCTCTAAAATAGTTTTGTTGTGGGTTAACGATTCAGTATAAACTTTAGTTTCCTTGTACTATTCAGCATTCAATACATCATCCAGGATCAGGTTGCAGTGAAGATTTATATTTGTGGTTCATTCCAGAAAATATTTCATTGTAACTGATAACAAAATGCTCTATAAGATCCTCAAAATGGGTTTTGCTATAAAGCTATTTTACTGGGATGGGTCTTAAACTATCTGCAGACATTTAAAACAGTGTTTAGTATCTACTTTGTATATCTGAATTGAAACTTGATGTATTTATTTTCTAGGTGTGAATACCTAATTCATATAAAAGGGCAAGAGTTTGTCCGTGAAATTCAAGCAAGGTACCCCCATCTACTTGAACAGGTGTGGAAATGCTACTTTTTTATCAATGTTAGCAGTATTCCATTCTCTCTATAATGTTATAGATTTTTACATTTTCAGTCTAAGTGCTCTAGAAAAGCTCATTAAATTTTCTTCTCCCTCTCTACTGATACTTTACAAAAGTTGACCATGTGCTAGTTATTCTGAGAATGGCTACAAATTGAATTCACTGTATGTCGCTCTGGCAATGTGACATCTCCCATACCAACTGCTGTGCAGGCGGGTACTTGTTTGAACTTGGAGGCACAACCATGAAGCACAGCATGTAGAGTTGTGCAGCATCACTTGAAAAGACTCTCCAGTCGCTCTGTGTGTAGTTGGGCCTCTGAGATCTTACATGCCCCTGTCTGCTTCCCAATTTCCATCTGGTTTTCTTGTGGCAGCAGCTGGATTGCTATAGTTTGTAGGTGCCAAATTAAGTGAAAAGTCCTTGGTGCAAGGGCGAAGAGGTGAAAGAGGAAGAGAGATTAATAGAAGAAGAAGGAGAAGAAAAAAAGGGTGTGTGAAATTATCATCACCTCCACTGTTTCTCTCTTTCCTTCTTGAGAGATAGGCAAGGTCTCTTTTGCCCTGGTCACTGCTGCCTCATGGTTCCCAGAGATTCCCACCAAAGGATTGCAGCCCTCAGTGAGAAAAAGGGATGTCTGTTCCTGCTATAAATAGGGGCATTGCTGTACAGTATAACTTGATGTAATTACAAAGCCAAGGGACATGTGATCATTCAGAGATCATCTGACGCTTAGTGGACAGTGGAAACTGTATCCCTCAGGATTGCAAGGATTTCCCAAAGTGCTCTGAGTTGTATGAATAAGGGCCTGCTGAGCAGTCTACTTGATGTATATGTATGTAATTTCTTTATAAAACTGTTCTTTACTACCAAACGAACAAAAGACAGCATGTGATTTTGTCAATAACAGCTTGTTTGCTTACAAGAAAAATGAATCATGATCAAGCAGAGTAAGTAGTGGTAATCTACATCCAGGCTTGCATGCATGAATACAAATGGTTAATGGGGAACACCTCAAAACTTGCATTCGAAGAGAGTGGTGCTGTTGAAATTTTCTTTCTTGTGCATGTAACCCCTTCCCTATTATCATACTCAGTGCAACTAACATTTAAAATCACACTAAGAATCACACGTTTTTGTTCTTAAAACTGAGGCACTCTCTCTTAGCAAAGTAGATGTCATGTAGCAGCCTTAGAGATGTAGATTACCACTATTTATGGTCTTTTGGCCTACCAGCTACATTCTCAGTTGGCTTTGGGGCCAGATCTTACCATGCTACCACTCTAGCAAACAATGCTTGCAGTTGACATCAGGCTGGGGTTTACAACCCTTCTACTAGCAGAGGTCTCCAGTGAGGATATGAAGGGCCATTATTGCAGCACTTGAGGCAGAACATAGGCAGATGCTTAGAATGAAGGGTTAAGGGCGCAATCCTATGCATGTGCAGAGATAAAAAGGGCCTGCAACTCCCAGTATGCCTGAACTTGTAGTGTTTTTTTCTCTCTCCAAGCATAGAATTGTTTCTTTAGCTCAGTTGTGTTTGCACAGAGTATTGTTTCAGAAAAGCTAATGCTTTTTAAAATGTTCTTTGCTTATGTTTTGCAGCTGTTATCAACTTCAGATATACCTGTGGATGAAAATGCTGGCCCACCAAGTAAGTGGTTTGATAAGATGCATTGAAGATAATACAGATACCTGGCACTTGAATATTAAAGTGCTGCTTGTTAAATGGTGTGAAATATTTTAACATTCCCAATTAGGCTTTTTACCAAATTAATTAGAATTATCTTGTCCTTTAAAAAAAGAGAGAAAGCTAAGTATTTCTTGAAAATACATTAGATCATGGGGTGGGGATAGGGTCTGCTGGTGAAGACTATTGTAAATTACTGTAAAACATCTGACCTAGTTTGGAGGACTGTAAAAAACAAACCAAAACAAAGCCTAACTGCAAAAAAGTATTGATAATAACCATTTATAAAGGCTAATTGCATGACAGGTATCTTATCTAAGGAAATGTGTGTTTGTTTTTCTGTTAAATTTTCTTTACCACCCAATAGCTGACATAGTTTTGGAGAAGCACAAAATTTTATTTATTTGTTTGTTTATTTATTTAAAAGTTTTATATGCCGTCACCACATGCCTATAGTTTATAACTATAGAACACAGAAACATAATAAAGTATAAGAGATGAAAAAGTTAATATCAGCGTAAAATCAAAGTAAAAGTCAGCAGCGCTGCACAGATCTAAAAACAAGTCAACATTATTTTTAAAGCTGGAGAGCTAAAATGCTCATGAGAATAAGAGTGCTTTACTTGGCGCCAAAAAGACTACACTGTATGGACTAGGAAGCCTATCTGGAGAGGGTCTTTCATAACTGGGGTGCCACCACTGAGGAACCTCTCTTCTTGGTAGCCTCCCATTTCATCTCTCTTGATGAAGACTCTTAGAAAAATAAAGATTTTCTCAACTTTAGACCTGGAATCTAATGCAGTGGTTTTATCTTGTCTATTTCTATTGAAAAGTTTTTCTTAAAAATCCATACGGCTCTGATATTTCAGCAGGTAATGCTATGATTTTTTCTTTGATTAGTTATTCATTTTGAACCTGGTGACAATGCTTCAGAAGATGCAGTTATTATGAAAACCCATATAGTTGAAGCTGTTTTGGAGATGGGATTCAGCAGAAGACTAGTGAAACAGACTGTTCAGAGTAAAATACTAACAACTGGGGAAAACTACAGAAACATAAATGACCTTGTGGCTGACCTTGTTACTGCAGAAGATGAAAAGAAGGAACAGGAGAAAGACATGCAGTCAGAAGAAATGACATCGGGTATGTAAGAGCTCTAGGGTTGCAGCTTGGTGCACTGGTTGCCTCTTTTTGTGCTTATATGACAATCAATTATATTGAAAGCAAATATTTTCAAATTGTATTTGCTCAGTTTATAAAATTGGAGGGGGATAGGCCATCTATAATCAGTGCAGGAAATCCAGTGCTGATATATCCCCAACAGATGTGAATTACCTAGGATTTTTTGTTGTTGTTCATGCAGAATAATTTAGTAGGGATTCTAAGAGGAAAATAGAAGTCTATTTTAAAATAAAAATAACAAAAGCAGTTCAATTCAGAGAGAGACTTTCTTGGACCTTGAGAAAGAAATAAGAAACTCTATTGCATCTTACTACATTTCTATATTCAGTGGATTGAAGTCTCTCTCATAATACACTTTGAAAGAATTCAGCTGACTGGTTTAGGCCACAATCCTATGCATGTTTGGAGATTTTAAAAAGTACCATAACTCCCTAACATGGCTGGCCAGGGAATGTTGTTGTGCCATTAGATTGGCTTCTTCAGCCAAGAAGCCACTTTAGATCTTCTTCTGGCTGTCAAGAAAAAAAAGATCAAAATTATGGTTTGGTTGATAAAACTACTTTAAGTGTCCCAAACAGAGGGAAAAAATATCAGAAGTCTTTGAAAAAGAGTCGTTTTTGTCCATCAGAGGATATGACATCTCAGTAGCTCCAGTGGTATTAAATGTCCTCCCTCTAGTGACAGATGTGGGTTAGACAGTAATCCAAAAAGTATGTTTGCTTTTGTTTCTAAATTTACCTCTGAAATGACATACCTCAGTAGAATAAAATTGTCACCCTACATTTCTGCTTTTACTGTTTGCATGACTGTTTTATTTCATAAATGTGAGAATGGCCTCCAAGGTCAGCTTAGTTTCTGGGCAAATACATGTGGAGATGGGGGATCCTTCATGTGTTTCTTTAAATTGTCTCTGTCTGTGCACCTGTAACAAAACCATTTTTTGGGCAAGAACAGAAAACAACATAAATTAGAGTAATTGTAAATAGAATACCTTTAATCAAACTAAGGACACTTTATAATGTTGAAATGCATATTTTATTTTGAGTAGTAGAACAGGTCTCAGTTTTTGTATTTGAAGGCATAGTTTAGATGGCACTTTGAAAAGTATTCTTAGATCTTCAGCTGAAAGATTAGGACCCACCACTGGGCCATGTCTGATCAAAAGTGGATCACCAGCAATAATAATTTCAGTTATATGGTTAAAAAAGCAAAAAAAAAAAAAAAAATCCCTAAGGAATGGCCTCTACATGTATTTTTGGATTAAAGGGCAGATCATGGCTATAAAATTTTGAAAGCTACTCTTAGTGGTTCATTTTACAAGGTTTACAAAACAAATGGCATGTTTTCTGTGCTTTTTCCTTATCTTTTTACCCAAAGTCTTTGCTTATTTACACATGTTTACTTGGATTCACAGCCTTGGATATGTGCAGTGATTCTGAAATACTAAGATGATTCTTGTTAAACATTCTTCACTGAAAAAATCTTAGCTTAATGGGCAAAAATACTTGCAGAGGTAACGCTAGATGGCAGTTAACTATGACATAGAGATTCAGAAAGGACTGCAGAATTGGGTTCTCTCCCTCAAGTTCCTCGCCTTTTCTTTAAAATTCCATCACATAGATATATACGCATTTGCTTTTCTTCTACTGCTTGTCAGAGTTAAGCATTTTGTTTTTAAATGCTGTATTAGAAAGAATAGTTGACAAGATAGAGGGAGAACTTGAACTCATTGTTAAGCACAGTTGGGGTAATTAACAAGAGGATTTGGGCCTATGAACTTATCAGTTATGGTTCCAAATCATCAAACTTTCCAGTTCTCCACCGGAATAGCTGATGCACACAAGCCTTTGCAATTAAATTCCCAATTCCAGTGCTGTTTTGCTTTGTTTATGACTTTGTCAATATAAAGCCTAAAATTATTCTTGGCAGTTCTATAGTCATTTGCTTTTAAGTAGAAATGGTAAATTGATCTGGAACATTTTTATTGACACATTTGGTTGCACTGGGCAAAGGTATAAGTTCTTATTGAGCTGATGGCTTCTGTTATCCATTCTTATTAAAACTTTTCCTTTGTCCATGTTTCTCAAGGAATTTGAGGGTAAAAGACTTACAAATTTTATGAAAGTTAAAATATACGGTATTACCGTCTTACCAGCCCTAACCTTGCTTTAAGAGGATTAACTGCTAAATTTGTTAAATTCACATCTCTACATACATTTTTGCAAAAACTCAGATGGTGTTGTATAACTGTATACTAATTGTCCTTTCATTATATTTCAGATCTGTCCTTAATCAGAAAGAATCGGATGGCACTGTTTCAGCGCTTGACATGTGTGCTTCCTCTCCTGGAAAGTTTATTAGCTTCTAAAGTAATAACTGACCTTGAACACCAAGTTATTAAACAGAAAACACAGACATCTCTGCAGGCAAGAGAACTGATTGATACCATCTTGGTGAAAGGAAACACAGCTGCAAGCATATTCAGAAACTGTTTACAAGAATGCGATCCTGTTTTATACAAAGATTTATTTGGTGAGTTTGCTAAAAGAATGTGCTGGTTAAAATCTAGTTGTCACTTCCTTGGTTTTTACAGTTTACAACAGTAACAGCTTTTAGTGGGCTTCTTGCTGAAAAGCGCATAATTGTAAGCTGTAATAGTTGCTTTCTTCAGAGGAAGCCCTGTTGATTAGCACGACAGGTTATGGCTTCAGGAGGTCTAATAGTCCTTAAACTCACACAGTTATGTTTTTCTGTGATCTATAACTGTTTCAAATAGTTTATTTCTTGGGCTAACGAGTGGCTTTTGTTTTTGCTTTTTTTTTTTTTTTTTTTTAGTGGAAAACCACGTGACGTATATCCCAACAGAAGATGTTTCAGGTAAATACTTAACTCACTAATATAAACTTGGACAGCATTAGACATAATAAGGATTACTCAAAAATAACAACAGGTGTTTAAAACGTGTAAAATACTTAATGTTTTACCAACAGCATCTAAGGAACTATGCACAGTTTCCTCACTTGGCACCCTGTTGCTCTTAAAGTAGCAACATTAAGTTTGAAATGGGAATTTATGATATGTATACCCAGTCTCCCAAAAATTACAATAAGTTTGGGAGCAGGGATAATGTCTGAATGTGGGAGTGCCTTTGGGTTTACACTTTCTACCTCCTGTTACAATAAGAAAGGAATGTGAGTTTCCCCCTCCCCATTACTGCTCCAGAGATGTGTAATCTCTGTATGCAGTTGGAGTACTGCACCTTTACCTCTCTTGCAAGAATAGCATTGTGAAGGAGAAATGCAGGTGCACCTTCACAGCTTGCTTTTTTGGCTCTTAGTTCAGGATGAGAATTGACCCTTTGATCTGCTTTTGAAGAGCAATGCTTGAAAATTTTGTTAGGGCTGCATTCCTGATCTGTACCTCCCGTGCTAATACATGGATGCTAACACAGTTATCTTTCATATCTTCCACTTTTCTGGATTTTAAGATGCAATTTTTAGCTCAAAAACATTAGCGGAGTAATACAATAAAGTATGTTTAGAAATGCAAATATGAAAATAATTATATCTAAATACAGATTTCCATGTAGATTAGCACCAGTTTAAGGATTAACACATGAAATTGACATGGACACGACTGATTTGTGTATCCTTATTTTTGATTGCACTGAAATAACACCTTAAAAGCATTTGTATGCTTTTTGGCGTATTTCCCAGGGAATCCCTATTTAGGTCTGATGTCAGTATTTCTACCCTTTGAAGGGAACATCTCTTTGTATTAGTGGATGCAGGCAGAAAAGGGTATGTAGGGCATGTATAGTCATTACTCTGTTTCTCATTATTATAAAACAGAAAAGTTTATAACAGTTCAGGGAGGTATATTTCCATATGTAATACATGGATTCTTTCCCTGTAGGTCTGCCTATGGAAGAACAACTGAGACGACTACAGGAGGAAAGAACATGCAAAGTTTGTATGGACAAGGAAGTGTCCATTGTCTTCATCCCTTGTGGCCATTTAGTGGTATGTAAAGATTGTGCCCCTTCGCTCAGGAAATGCCCTATATGCAGGGGAACAATCAAAGGAACTGTGCGGACATTTCTTTCGTGAAGGAGCTAAAACATGACATTTGCTCCACTACGTTTCATTTTATTGTTAAGCATTAAGTACTCACTTAGGTCATCCTGTTTTTTAAAGTGGCTGCAAGTCCAGACAGTCCAAAGATCCCTATACTAGGGCAAGAATTCCAAGGGCATTCCTTTGGGGTCAATCATTGTGCTTCAGGCAGTCATGCAAATTGCTAGCCCAGACAGGCCAGTCCTGTTCGAACTAGCCTCCTAGTGCCTTGGAACAAAATGTTCTGACTTTAAGATTGACCTGACATAGGTTGTTACAGTTAATGATTATATGAACCATTTGGAAAGTTCTGTGAAGAAACTACCTTCCAGTATAGCTCTCGATCCAAAATGCCTTTTTTATATGGAAAGCCTTATTATAAATAGCTGGAGCATCTGTGCAGGAATGCTTTTGTGCTTCCTTTCATATTGTTTGTAGAACAAACTAGGCAGCTACAAGGGTTGCACATTATTTCTTGTTAGTATGTTTTTGTATGGTACATAATATGTGGATGTAATATTAAAGATATGTCTTTGTGCATAAACTTACTGGTGATAATTAATTTTCAAACTTGCTACATTACAGTGACTAATCAGAACATGCCCTTTTTGAAATTCATACTTCCCAGTCTTTTAACCCACACACACTTTCTTGGGGTGGGGAGAAAATAGCTCCTTAAAGCAGCTTGAATATTTGAGAACAAATGCCTGCTTGTTTCAAAAACCTACTCCATGCATTTCATAATAAGATGCAGCCCACGAACACTTATGTTTAAGCAATTTGGTTTCTGCAGTTCTCCCAGGCTTGCTTTGCCTTTATTTTTTGGGTATTACTGGAGGCTTACTTCATTCACTTGAAAGAGCAGGACTTTACATCTGTACCCTAAGCATGCCTGATTGGAAAAGGGTTTCCTAGAATATCAAAATGGCCAGTTGGGTAGTTAGCATTTATGTTTGGACTACAGGCCTGCCCTGTTTGGATTTTTCTCATGCTACATTGGAGCACTCACTTTCTTTCAATCTGGCTTGCCTCACTGGGCATGAGTGAAAAGAGGAATTCCACATATGCTCTCCTGAGTTCATCAGAGGATACAAGTACAATCTGTAATTATCCATGTGCTATACCAGCACAGGCATAGATATTGGTACTGTTTATGCAAAGGTTTTGCCGAAACAGTGAACAGGCCTCCTAGGAGCAATCTGTGTGGACCTTGGGAACATCTACAGCAGTTGCTGTCACCAGGAAAAAGTTGCTACAACTCCCAGGACTTCTTACCTTTTCTCCACTTCCAACCACTTTTCAAACCAGAGCTGTCATCCTGGCAGATTGTGGGAAGGGCAAACGCATGAATCTACATACATGTCCTGATCAAGTGCGAAGTTGTATGAGACAATGATGATCCACCAGTCTGATGTGCCTTTGGTGCAAATGTTAAGGACGGAAGTATAACTTCAAAAGTTTGATAATCTGCTACATAAGCAGTTCTGTCACTCATGCAGCAAGCAGTAGTAGTGGGAAAGCAATAAAGATTTTCTTCACTGATAAAAAGAACATCTTCTCTGTTCTCTATTACTCAGAGTAGTTTTCTGCTTCAAAATAGTAATCTAAGTTTAGTTTGATATGTTACCCATCAGGATATCCTGTCTTTTTACCATAAAGGCAAACCAACTAGGGTTCCTCAGCCTTCCATCCAGGCTCTGACTCAAGCTTTAACAAGATGCCACATGATACACCTACAGACTTCTACCTTTCCTAAAATAGCAAGTTTGAATGTAATCAGGTGGTAGCAATATATACTTAGGTTTAGCCCTGTGCAGCCACAAGCCTGGCTGTTTTGGGAAGACTCAGCTTACAGTGTAATCTTATGCAGAACTGGCTCCTGTTAAGTTCAGTGGGTTTCCCAGTTAAGTTGTGTATGTTTACTTTCCTCAGCCTAGTGCCTTCCAGAGATTTCGGACCTCAGCTCCCTCCCATCAGCCTCAGCCCCCATGGCTAGCAGTCAGAAATGGTTGTTGTCTGGAACAACTTGGGGCCCACCAGGTTTGGGAAGGCAAATGCATGGGATTCCAGGCAAGGAAACAAATGCAACACTAAGACCAGAAGGACTTAAAATGCTTGTAAAGGATGACCTACAGAGGTTGCTGGTGTGGGCCAAAAGTAAAAGAGCACAGACTGGCTGTTCAATTTGTTGAAGCTTTGAAAACAATAAACAAGGCCAAATCTGCATTCAAAATGTGTTGGTATGAGTGCAGCAACACTTTTCTGTCCAGGATCGCCAGTGACTGGTGCACATAGGCAGGCTGTCTCTGTCACTGGAATAACCATTTTAGCCTTTCCAACCCTCAGCCATATACTTTCCACTATTCTCAGAGAGCAAGTAATTCTAGACTTGTCCAGACATATCTAGATGCATTTATATCAACATCTTTTAATTGCTATTATATCCGGCTGAAGCAGAGGGAAAGAATGGGCAGCATGGCTTATACCGCTGGCCCAGCTGAACAACCACCTAGATCAGGCTGTGACTCCCCCATGTATCAGTAGTCGTGCCATATGGCTGCAGAGAAAGAGGCAGTAGCACATTCCCACCCTAATGGCTTAGTTGGTAAATCCAGTTGGCATTGAGCATGTAGGTGCAATTCCACAAGGTTGCAACAGAGGGAGAAGTGGGATTGTTGGATCTGCTCAATGGCTCTGCCAGGCAACTTCCTCAGCCTTCGCGTGCTGGTTGGGGACGGAAGTTCACTTCATCTGTAGGAAGCCAGGTTGGGGGAGGCTGGCTTAAAAAAAACAAATTAGCAAAATTGAAACATTTGGAAGTTCATCTTAAGGACTTCTCGATAACTCAGGTGGAGTGCATGTCCAGCCATGAAGTGGACATCAAGGTGGTGCTTGTGCTGCCACAATCTGTTGATGAGCCTGGTTTTTCAGATACTTTCTGTGCCTTTGGTAATTGTACTTCCTCAGGAATAGGAAGAGGTCATCTGTTTCTATGAAAGGTTCCATATGCGGTCTCAGTCTTCACTCCTTTCCCTTGTACAGCTGTTTCTGCCATGTTGTCTCTCCACTGAGAACAGTACAAAGCACTAAATACAGCCACGTCCAGTGCCATCTAGTGACTGCACACAAAAGGGCATTGCTTTTTTGGCTGCTCAAAATAAAAGTACAGACGTATACTTCTTGGTCACGCTACTCTGAGTCGTGGGTTGAATGCTGGGCATTTTGGCATGGAATGGCTTGGTGGGCAGAAAAGGCACCTCCTATATTTTTCAAAAGGGAGGGGGGGGTGTGTGTGCATGCGCACGCATGCACCATACCCAGTCACAAAAGTTTGGCTGATTTGAGCATAAAGCAAATTCTCCCTTAGGAAACCTTATTTTATAGGAACTAGAACAAAGTGCATCTCCTTCAAAATCATATAGACAAGGTGCCAGAGCTTTGAAAACTCTTGGCTTTGTTTGAGCAACTGATACAGAAATAGACATGATCATAAGCAGAACTGAGCTTCCTCTGGTCCTGTTGCAGCAATGTTTTGAGAAGACAAAGGGCAAAGATAAACACCAGCTTCCTATGAGGTTTTCGGAATGTTTATGTTAAGTGGGAGGAAAGCATGCCATTAGGAAACATTCAAAATACATTCTCACATCCTAGTCAGTGACTGTATTTTTGGAGGGTTTTAATTTATGTGATTAATCCAAGAAGGGAGAAGCTGTCACTCTTATATGGCAAGTTTCATGTACAGAAAGCAAGTTCCCAGGTTAAGTCGCCAGATAAGAAGGAAAATACTCCTACCTGAAATCCTAAAGATGACCAGTTAGTACAATAATGACCTGCTGTAAGATCTGGGCACGGGTAACAGGTGTGGAGAGGCAGAATGCTGGGACCAGGGCACTGGGGCTAGGTGGGGTTTGGAGACAAGAATGGACGACAGTCCAAGGTCCGTGCCGGGTGGAATCACACAGTCCAACATTACACAGTCCACAAAAACAGTCCAGGAGGCAAGCACTGGGAGGGCAATCACATACAGAAGTAGGTGAGACCAGGGCAGAAGGGCTCAGGTACTGGGGCAGTAGGGCCAACTGGAAATGGACAGGCACAAGAGCAGGAAGGAGCAAGTGGGAACGCACAGGAGCGAGGCACAACGCATGATGATGCAACAGCCAGAGCAGAAGAGAGTCACAGAGGCCGCTTGCATTACTGGGGCAAGGAGCTACACTGCAGAGAGACCTTTTATGTTGGTTTCCTGGCCTCCAGCTACACTGCATAATTGCCTCTCAGCTGTTCCCTGTAAGCACCTACAGAGGTGTTCAAGTTCTGCAGGTACCTGCAAGGTTACCCAGACCCTGGTCCTGACACTTATGGCAGAGCTGACACTTGGCAGATGATGTTGGACTCCAACTCCCATATTCCCCAGCCAGCATGGCCAGTAGTGCTGGAATCCATCAGTTCCACAGGTTTGCTACTCTTGAGCAAATTGGATTCATGGTCTGACATGGCATACAGAAGCAGCATATCTTCCCAACACTTCCCAAACTTTTGTGTTTTCTGAATTAGAAATGGAATCATTCTTACACACTTCTGCAGGACAGCCACCAATGTGCACAAATTTAAAAGGGGCAGCTTAGATTCAAGAGGGATAAGGGGCTACTAGTCCTGATGGCCACATGCTTCTTCCAGTATCAGAGGCACTAAGCCTATGTGTGCTAATTGCTGGGGAACATGCACAATAGGGTCAATGGGCAAAATGCCCTGTTTTCACAGGGTCACCGCTGCACAAACTGACTAGGTGGATCTTCTAGTCTAAACTGGCATGGCTCTTCTTAAGTTATGCCTAGAAAGAGCTGGTCTGGGACAGCAAAATGCAGAAGGATTACATTCAGTGCATGGATGTTGCAGAATGATCCTCCTGGCCCCAAAGCCAACGGTAAGGTGATCTCCGCAACAGATTGCTCATTGCAAGTCTGCTTGAATTCCTGCACGGTGTTGGTCCCCTTTCCATCAGGAAAAAAGGCAGCCTCACACTGGTGCCCAAGAATAAACAACACTAGGTGTACTTAATATGCCCAAGGGATTACACACTCCAGTCTTTGTCAGGAGCAAAAAAGGATTTTGCACTGCCTTTGCTGCAATGAAAAATGTGGCAAATATTAACGTAGGTTGCAATCTTAAGTGCCATTGAGCTTAATGGAATTTACCTTCAAGTAGAGGTGCATAGGATCACACGGTATGGCTGCACCCCTGTACCAACGTATAGCAAGTGCTCTGCACTGGGCATCTGCTTTATCTCCTTTAACTGATTTCTTTTCATGGTTTATTAGTGTGCCTCAGTGCAAAGTGTGAATTCCTGATGGCATCTAACTTTACCAGTGGCAGCAGGTGTGGGTCTTTTGTCTTTATGTCATTCTTGTGCAAGAAACCACAGCAACATTATGTATTTCCTCACCCCCTCCCGACCCTGTATCAGTATTTGGGAAGTAATGCAATTGCAATATCTTATTTATTCAGAAGATACAGATGGTCCTAACGCTGTTAATTGGAAGCTCTCCCTGAACTCCAGAGCATTTCTCTCTTTGAGGAATTAAATGTGTAGAAAAAGAACCAAAAGGGTTCTTGACTTAGCTCTCTATCAGATTTGGTCAGGTGACATAGGTCTGGCCAGGCATTTATCCACCAGTTGATGGCCACTGGTAGATCATGATTTACCTACCACTGGCCTTCAACTGGTGGAAAAATCATGACCTGACAGAAGGTGTCCCATATTCATTGCAAATTCGCAGTAAGTATGGCTCATAAGCTCATGTTCTGCCCCTGCCCTTTGCAGCACATCTGCAGCACAGGAATGCTTGCAAAGGGCTGTATCTCAGTGGTCAAGCAATGCTTTGCATGCAGAGAGGCCCTGCTCTTTCTCCAGGCAGGGCGAGGTAAGACTCCTGCCTGAACCTGAGCAGCCACAGCCACCACAGTTCTGTCTTGACATTAGTTAGCCTGTCACTTGGTAGCCAGTTGGTCATTCTCTCCTACAGTCTTCTGAGCTGCTCTCCACATAGTAAGATGGGGCAGATAACGCTGACAGGAAATGAAACTTGTCCTTATCCCAGGATATGCCCCAGTGCTCTCTGGGGCAAAAAATCCCAGCTTTAAATACAGATCAGTAAAGGTCCCTGAAGGAAGAGTGTTTTCAGGAGCAGTTGAAAGCAACACAGTGTTGGCCTCTGCATGATCTCCAAGGCCTGGACTCCCAAACCAATGATGCTGCTACACTCAAGGCTTTCTCCAGGTGGACTCCATATGGAACATGTCCAGGATGGCTTCAGGATGCTGGCAGGCTGGTAAGGGAAGAAGTGCCTCTCAAAAGAGCCTTAAACATTTAGACTACAAGCTGCCATTTTCATTACCTGTGTATATTTTTGTGAGGAAAGGTGATGGGAGAAATGTGTGTGTGTGTGTGTGTGTACATATTGCATGGACCTCCCTCCCTCCCTCCCTCCCTCCCTCCCTCACCTACACCCCAAACTCAGCAACTAAATATGATATACTGGTTATTGCAAAAATTTGGCTATTGCAAAACCAGAATGCAAAACAAAACAAAAAGTCTGTATGTTTATTGAATAAGGTTCTTAGTTTACAAGCTAGCAAATTGGAGCAAAAAAAAAAAAAAGAGTACATGAAATACAGTTAAAACCAATTAAAATAGTTTTCATTTGTACTTTCAGATGAAAACACAAGCCCCAATCTTCTTGCTAATGAACAGGCAGCCATATTAAAAGGAATCACACTTGCATATTATGAGTCGTAATCTTGGGAGCAGGGTGAGGAAAGCAGTAGGTTTTCAAAACCTCTGAGAAGACAAATTCCACTTTAACTGCCATGGCTTCCCACCCAAAATTTAAGGGACTGCAGTATGCCAGGAATGCTGAAATACTCTACCTCCTCTCTCCAATTAAAGAACTGCAATTAGAAATATTCCCCAGAGAAAGGGGATGACAGTTAAACGAAGTTAAATTTGTCAGCGATGGAGGTTCTAAGGCAGAATCCTAGGCAGGGCTGGCTGGTGTTTGCTGAAGGAACAGGCCTTTTAAAATAAGCTAAACATGCATAGGATTGCACCCTTAGTAACTAATGTGTTCTGAGTTTTCTCCAAAGAGAGAGTTTGCCGACTATCACAACCTCACCCCAAAGAATCGCCCAATCTGATAGGGCCCTGTATAGTCGAAATGCTCCATATTCTTACTGATCTTCTACCCCAACTCTGCAGGTGGATC